ATTTTGTAGACCACCTAGCTTGAATAGTTTTCTTTGAAGACAGTTAATTATGCAGTCAGTTTTATACTCTACATTCACCTCTAATTTTGGTACAACATGTTTTTTTTGCCAGTTGGATTGTCCTTCACATTATTTAACACATCTCTATATTTTTTAGCTATTTCCTCACGTCAAATATACCTTAAAAATTCAACCATAATTCTCAGCAAACTGACACAAGTACAGAAAATCAGATGCCGCATGTTCTCACTCATAGGCGGGTGTTGAACAATGAGAACACATGGACACAGGGAGGGGAACATCACACACTGGGGTCTGTTGGGGGAAACTAGAGGAGGGACAGCAGCGGGTGGAGAGTTGGAGAGGGACAACATGGGGAGAAGTGCCAGATATAGGTGATGGGGAGGAAGGCAGCAAACCACATTGCCCTGTATGTACCTTTGCGACAATCCTGCATGTTCTTCATATGTACCCTAAAACATAAAATGCAATAAAATATTAAAAAAAAAAAAGAATTCAAGATTTGGCTAGGCATGGTGGCTCATGCCTGTAACCCTAGCACTTTGGGTGGCCAAGGCAGGCAGATCACCTGAGGTCGGGAGTTCCAGACCAGCCTGCCGAACATGGAGAAACCCCGTCTCTACTAAAAAATACAAAATTAGCTGGGCATGGTGGTGCATGCCTGTAATTCCAGCTACTCAGGAGGCTGAGGCAGGAAAATCACTTGAACCTGGGAGGCGGAGGTTGCTGTGAGCCGAGATCGTGCCATTGCACTCCAGCCTGGGCAACAAGAGCGAAATTCTGTCTCAAAAAAAAAAAAAAAACCCAATTAAATATTTACCGTCATTGATTAATTCATGGAGCAGGAATCAAGCTCAGTAGCTAACTCCTCAAAGTAGTCTGGAAAATCTTTTATAAAATGGCAGTGTCATTTGTAACCTTGTTGGGGTCATAGAGCTAATATGGTGGAAGCTATCTCCTCCCAGAAATACAAATATGTACATAAATTTTGCATCTTCTAAAAGGATCTGTAGACCCTCATAGCATACCCAGGGATCCCCTAGGGTTAAGAACTTTTGTTCTAAAGGGACACATCTTAGATAGATATAATATTTATTTTGATTTGTAGTTAAGATACTTTTGTTAAAAATTCAATAGTTTCATCATCTGTCACCACAGTTTAAATCCATACATTTAATATTCCATGTAGATATGTGTAATTAACTGCATTAAAAGTGACCTACATTTTGGAATTTCTGTTTTATGAGGTTTTTCATTTTATTTTAATCTATTTTAAATATTCCTTTAAATCTTTTCAACTTTCTAAGTGAAGGCTTTTTCTTTTTTAATTTATGAAAGTATTTCTTTTTTATTCTTGTTAATCTTAAAATCATATCTATCTACAGACCTTTGGCTTGAATATTTGATTTAACATTTGCATTTGAAAAAAAATTTTTAAATACGACATTGACCTTAAAGATTTTGAAAGTCAGAATCTACATATAAATTTAATTCCAGTTCTCTGCTATTAAAATAACATCGACTGAATCTCAGAATTAGGTGATAACTGTTTTATGCTTTTTTGAACATTACCAAATGATAATTTTTAGAATAAAATGCAAATCCAAGGTGCTGCAAGAGTTTAGTGTATGCAGCTTCATTTTTCATGGTAGTTTATAGAATTTACATAAAAAAGCAAGCTATTTTAGTGACCATATACACTGGTGTCTTAATCCATGTTTCTATAACAAAATCCCATTAATAGTGTGGCTTATAAGCAACAGCAATTTATTTCTCATAGTTCTAGAGACTGGGAAGTCCAAGATCAAGCACCAGCAGATTCGGTATACGGTGAGAACTCACTTTCTGGTTCATAGATGGTGCCTTCTAACTGTGTCCTCACATGGCGAAAGGGGTAAGGGGACTCTTGGCCCTTTTTTAAAGTATTTTTTATAAGGGCACTAATCTCATTCATGAAGCCTCTACCTTTATGACCTAATCACCTTCCTAAGGCCCCTACCCCCTAAATCACCTTAGCAGTTAGAATTTCAGCTTAGAAACTTTAGGAGGACACAAACATTCAGACCATGAATATATGTATTTTCTTCCTCCATCATTGTAAGTAATGATTTCATGTACATATTCAGTGCAGCTTTCATCACCTCTAAGCAGAAAAGCTGCACTACCGTCTCAAACCTACAATGAAGCATAATGTAATGAATCCATGATTTCAAACATGCAGAATCAAATCTAGGCCTGCTAAAGATGATGAGAGCCTTGTTAATAAAGTAACTTTGGTGGAAACCCTCTTCTATAGGTACCTGCTTATTTGTGAATATTGTCATGAGGTTATATAATACCTTTCATCCTACTTTATTGATGTGTTTGGAGTTAGAACCATTTCCGGAGAAGAGTCTCACATACATGACAATGTGAACTTGTGGGTTTGGTGATGGGCCAGGTGGATATGAAATCCTTGTCATCACATAAGACATGCATATTTGTGTCCACACATCTCATAGTCTGAAACAGCATGTTTCTAAGATGCATATTATTTCATAGATTTTATTTCTAAAGTCAGGACACATCTTAGGGTTGATAATGTGTTCTGGTTCATCTAGCAGCATTTTCTTCTAATACTACATAAAATAGTAATGCAAATAACAACAGATGGTCTCTTGGATGCAATGAAATGCATTATATAGAAACGTATCAGAAGCAACTCCCCAAGAATATTGAAATTACAAAGGTAATTTATTTGCTAAAGACATAGATTTTTGTGGCAAAGCAGACACAGTCTGGTGAGTGATTTTTCAAATGCTTTTCACCATCTTCTGTGACTCATTAGATCATAAACTTGTAAACTCAATGTAAATCATCATTTTAAAGACATTTCTTATGTAATATTTGGTGCAGAATCATAATGTTTATGTGAAACTATGATTAATTACAATGAATTATTGTTCAGTATAAATGAATAAATTTTAACTAAATACAAATCTTGTATAATTCTATAACAGTGTGTTGAGAGAAATTAATGTTGTATAAGACAAAATATCAAGTAATACCATTTTTAATAAATAAGTATCACTAAAACACTCTTAAATTTAAAATTTAGCCTGATCTAGATATCTTTTTCAATCATTGTTTATTTTCAGTGTTAGTATGAAAAAAATTCAAAATATTTGTTTTTCAATTGACATCTTAGCTCCAAAATTAAAAGAGCATATTTTAATGGGAGCTGGTCTCAAACAATTTGACATGAGTTAGATAACAGTTTGGAAAATGTGTCTGTGCTCTGTTTTGCTTCCAAATTTGGACTTTTAAACTTATTGTCAGTTTCAGAAAGAAATAAGAAGCAGTGCAGATAATTAAACATTTGCCTTGGGGGACTTATTTGCAGTTAATTAAAACCACACACTTCGGGTATATATTAATACTTGCTTCACTGGTTATTAAATTTGAATCATATGTTAACTGCCCAGGTTTCTCACTTGTCCATCAAATGTTGCTTGTGGCAGGTTCAAGAAACAAACTTTCTCATAATATTCCAAACCATATTGTTTAAAGCTGTCTCCTAATTTTGAGAGGGAAGGAGTGAAGACAGAGGGAGGAGGGAAAAGGAAACAAGCAGAGAATGGTTTATTTTGGACTCCATCTGATTCAGCTCTGTTAGGGAGTTAAAAGACAACCAACAGACACAAATTCAGTAGAGAACCCATTTGTAAGTAATCAAAGTGTTGGTGTACCACCCCCAGCTTTCTCCATGGCCACATGCTTGATTAGCTTATGGCTTTTAGATATCTTTGGCTTGCTTTTCTTTTAGCAGCATGAAAAATAACTACTAGACTATAAGCTCTATGAGGGCAGAGAGTTGGTTGTTTCCTGTTGGCTCCCCAGCATCAAGTACAGTGTCTGGCCAGGTGTGGTGGCTCACACCGATAATCCCAGCACTTGGTAGTATGAGGCATGAGGATCCTTTGAGGCCAGCAGTTCAAGACCAGTGTAGGCAAAATTGCAAAATCCTGCCTATACACAAAATTAGAAAACTAGACGGGCATGGTGGCCTGTGCCTATGGTCCTAGCTTACTTTAGAGGCTGGAACAGGAGGATCACTTGAGCCAGGAGTTTGAGGTTGCAGTGAGCTACAATTGTACCACTGCATCCAGCCTAGGTAACAGCACAAGACTATGTCTAAAAAAAGTGTCTGGCATATACGTGACCATTAATAAACGTCTGGAAAATGAATGAGAGACCTACTTGCTGTCTTCCTGTTGATCCATTCACAGGATCATTTCAGTGCTTTTTAAAACCACCTCCAGGAGGCCTAAACATTAAGCAAAGAGTCCTTTGTAGGTTTGCAATAGCCCATAGTCACAGAATCCTTTTAGCCATGTTTTTATCTGTAACCATATCCTATAATAAAAAAAGAGAAGTGTACGACGATTCCATGTTTAAATGTGCTAAACGAAGGAGGAAATGACATTGCAGGGCCTAGAAGGTCTACATTCCCTTGATGCTGTTGTTCAACTGCTACGGTTCCCGAGGAAGATGAACTTAATTACCACTGGATTTCAAGGTTCTGTTTGTGACTTTTTTAAGGACTCAAGGCTCCCGTATGTGAGCAAACACAGTAATGGAAGCACTAAGAACATTAAAATTAGACAGTCCTTTAATCTTCTCTATTTTGCCTTCCTTTTAGATCCTTTCCTGCAATTCTAAGACTTTCCCTGATGCAGACAGCCTGCTTATATTTTCTTATTTGTCACAAAAAGATATCCCAGCTACATCTTTACCTTTGCAAGCTTTTAGCAGATACCTTACATAGTACTATTTTTAAAAAATACTTATTTATTGGCAAACATATATATTTAAATGGTTATTTTTAAAACTAATAAATTCTATTTTTCCTCATACATAAACCCGTCATGTTAGTGCTGAAAGCTGCTCTATTTCCAAGTTAAAAAAGCTGACTAAACGTTTTGCTCGTCTGTTGTTAGATTCTGCAAAGGATGACAATACTACAGAAGGTGGTGAAGTGACAGATCATTCTGAGTGTGACCAAGACCATCCTGACGGTAAGTTGTGAGATCCTTTATTAGCTTTTCTTTTCTTCTGCTAGGAAACAGAAAAGAAAAACCCACAGACTTGAATTTTTCTGGAAAAAAAATTGACTTCCAGTAACACTGTGTTAGCACTGAGTACCAGTTGATCAGTAGCTGCCATCTTTAGGTGATACTTTTGCTTTCCAGAATCTTCAACCCTCTTTACTTTTGTACCAGGCTGGCTTCGTTTACTTTGTTTATTGTTACTTGCCTAAATTATGTAAGCCCTGGGTTTGCAAACACTGAGATGAACGTGTTATAACAATGAGAATAAATCTTTTCATTGAAAAAACATGGAGAATAAATGTAGGGTATTAAATCCACATATTCTTGGGATATCAAGAAGGGAGTATAGAACAAACAGAAATGAGACAATCTTTAGAAAAATAATAGAAAAAAAATGTCCTGATATAAACCACTTTTCCACCCAAAACATGACAGCACACGTTATATTTATAGGCAAAGGAAAAACGGAGATGAAAACAGACACTTGCAGAGCTTTATGGAACTTCTGAAGGTCAGTGATAAAGAAAGCCTCTTTAAGCATAATCAAAATCAGGTAGTAATTAAAACCATCGGAATCAGATTAGCCCTCACCTTCCTTCCACAACCCTAAACACTAGAAAAAACGGAGCCATCGTTTCCAGAGTTCTAAAGGACACAGTTGCCACATTTAATGAAGTGATTATTTATACATAAAGTCAAAGCAATATTTTCTCAGGAATACAAAGAGGAAGAAAATATGCCATCCAGGTATCCTTTCTGAATAAACTAACGGAAGGCCTGAGCAAAAGCAATAAATACAGAAAGTAAGGCAAAACTCAAGACTGAGGAAGGCACATTTGAAAGAGACTATATGGTAAGAGGCTAATTAAATTTATGAAAATGTTGAAGTCATTATGTTCTATCAAATAATGTTGAAACAACTATTCAAAATTAGTATCTAAATATGTGTCTTTAACTTTGACATTTATAGTATGTGTTGTTTGAAAATGAGAAAAAGGAGAGACTAGATTTCAATAATAAAAGTCTAAGTAATTTAGACCATTTCTCCTACTGAAGACAGCTAGACAAAAAATATACATATTTATACGTTATATATTATACATATATGGAGAGAGACTGTTTGAAGGCATCAGTGAGCTAATAAGATACTGAAAACCGTCAGGCTAAGTTCTGGGAGGCAATGAATCTCCAGATATATGAACCCAGAATTTGAAACTTTTTACCTTAAAGCATTTGCTGATTCTGCAGAAGGTATCTGGAACTCCATTGCTGAAAAAGTAAATGGCCCTTGGTTTTGGGGTTGAAACCCCAAAGATATATATCCCAGAAGGAAGAATGAATGAGTGGTAGATTGGTCTTCTGAGTGACTGCTGCCCAGCTTCAAATCATCTCAATCCCCACATTAAGCTAAGACCAGCCCTGATTGCTAGTCCCTTCAGGCATCTAAGAAAAGCAAATGTAAAATATTCACTAGGAGTGAAAAAGAGTGTCATAGACTTCAAATCATTTATATAAATAATTTGCAAAACATAATGTCCAGCACACACATAAAAAACACCCAGAAAAAATGAAGGAACAAAGGTAACATGAAAAACAAAACAATAAGGCAAGACAAGTAAGCCCATATGAGCTGAAAATATTAGAGTCATAAACACAAAGTATAATATAATTTTGCTGAGCATGTATAAGGAGATAAAGATAAGACTGGAAATTTTAGCTGAGAACTGGAAATTCAAAACAAAATAAATTTTGCAAGGAAAGAATCTAGAAGTAAGTGATTCTATAACTGAAACTAAGAATTCAATGAATGAATTTATGACAGAACAACATATTAAACACAGGTGAAAGAAAATTTGTAAACTAGAAGGTAGGTCAAAATATATCCCAAATTAAAAATGGGGTAGGGGAAGAAAGGATGGAAAATACTAAAGAAAGAGAAAAAGATATTAAGGATCTGATGACAGAGTCTATCACAAGTACAGCTGGAGTCCCACAATGGAAGGAGAGAGACAATTGGGCAGAAGCAAGAGTTGAAGAAGTTATGGTGAGAAATTTCCTACATTGATGAAGTACATTAGGCCAAATGTTACGAGAGCTCTTTGAACTCCAAGCAGAATAAATACAAATAAATAAATAAATAAATTCACAACAATGCCCATCATACTAAGTAAATAGGTAAATATAAATATTATAAATAATAAATATACAACAAGGCCCTCATAGTAAAATTCCTGAAAAACAAAGATAAACAGAACTTCTGAAAAGCTATCTTCAAGCAGTTGGACTGATAGCAGACTTTTCAATATATATAATGAAAATGAGAAGACGATACAACCACAAATAGCTGTGAACCAAGAATTCCAAACCCAGGGGAAAAAGTATGTTTCAAGAATAAAGGTTAATTAAGGACATTTTGGACCAAAAAAAAAGGCACAGTTTATCACCAGAGAATTCTGGTATTCTACAAGTAGAAAGCTATTGATCCCAGATAGAAGGCCAAAGATAAAGGAAGGAATTAAGAGCAGGATAAATGGTAATTATTGGGTAAGTCTAAATAAATATTGATGGTATAAATCAGTAATGGTAATAATGTCTTGTGGAGTTCAGACATGCATAACATTAAAATATACCACAATAATGGCATTTGTTGGAATGAGGTAAATTAGTTTTAAGTTGATGTTTTAAGCTGATGTTTTTCCATTAACATGAAGAGTAAAAGTACCAACAAGTGTTGTAACTGTAATTCTCAGTGGCCCTGAGAGTCAGGAAATGAGGTTATTCCTGTGATTGTCCAGCTGGCTACCTGCAGAGTTTCCAGGCTGTGGTGCAAAGAGGAGGAACCCAGGGAGAGCCCAGCAAACTCTCCACATTGAGGAGGCAGAGCTGAGAGTCCTGGGAGGCCAGGGTAGCTAAAGTTTGCAAGGCAGCATTCTACAGAGAAGAGAGCTCCAGAGAGGGAATGCTCAGAAGTCTACAGAAGGAACTCCTCAGTCTTCAAGTGGATAGGAACACTAAAAAAGATCTGAGAGAGTGATACCTGGAGTTTACGTAGGGCTAGAAGAAGTGCCTATTCCCACCAGCCAGACTGGAGAGCCTGAACGTTCATCAAGAACTCAGAAGGTTTTTGCCTTAGTAGTGGAGCAAAACAGGCAACAGACTTAATGCTGCTCTTGTCCTCCCCAATAGAGCTTAAAAGTGAAACTTGAAAGGATCAAAATATTTTTGAGTAACTTAATTGCATTTTAGAATAAAGCTCAAAAATATTTATAAAAATTACAAATATATCTCATACCCAACAAAGTAAAATCAACAGAATTACCAGGCATGCAAAGAAGTATTGCAAGACAACTCTCCATGCATCTATCATGTGTCTGCATATTTTGTGAGAAAAGGCACTGCTTGTATCCTTGAACAGGATCATGACTCTCTTTAGATTAAAGAGCAGACATACTTATTGTCCATTATAAAAGGTTCAGAGGATCTTGAGATTCCCTGATATGGTCTGGCTGTGTCCCCACCCAAATCTCATCTTGAATTGTAGCTCTTGTAATCCCCACATGTTGTGGGAGGGAACCTTTGGGAGGTAACTGAATCATGGGGGTGAGCTTCCCCATGCTGTTCTCACAATAGTGAATAAGTCTCATGAGATCTGATGGTTTTATAAAGCAGAATTTACCTGCACATGATCTCTTGCCTGCCACCATGTGAGACATGCCTTTGCACCTCCTTTGCCTTCAGCCATGAGTCCTCCCCAGCCATGTGGAACTGTGAGTTCATTAAACCTCTTTTCTTTTTAATTACGCAGTCTTTACCCATGCTTCATAGCAGCATGAAATAGACTAATACATTCTCTAAGATTCCTCCCCAATGATATTACCCACTGAGTGTGTAGGAATTAGCTGGTCCACCTATGGCACCATGTGGGAACTGGGACTCAGAAAACAGACACTAACACTCTGGTTACTGTGATTTCTCCGAACAATAAACTATTCTTTATATTTGACCAGGAGTCTTTGTCAGCATTCATGGAATTGTGGCTAACAAATTCAAGTAGGGTAAAATCTCAGAGTCTTCACAGTTCTTGACAGGAAGCAGAAAACCATGCTTCACACGACAAGAAAAGTCAGTAAGTGAAACTCAATCCACAAATGATGCAGAGGATAGAAGTAATATGAAAGGTTAAAAGTTGTTATAACTCTCTTCCACGTATTTATGAAGTTAAAATTAGGACTGACCGTGTTAATTTGAGACAAAGAAGTTATAAAAAGACCCAAATTGAATTTCAAGTGATTCAAAACACAGTGCCTGAAAAATTATACTTGATGAGAACAGTGGCAGATTAGCTGCTATAGAAGAAAAGATTAAAGAATTTGAAGATGTAGCAATAGAAGCTATCCAAATGAAAACACAGAATAAGTGACTGAGGGGAAAGAAGAGCATCCATGAGCTTTGAGACACCTTGAAGGGTGGTTCTAATTACAATATACATAGATGGGAATCTCTGAGGGTGGATGTGGGAGGAAGAGACAGAAAACATATTTGAAGTAAAAGTGGTTACAATGTTCCAATTTGATGAAATTATAAACCCACATAAGAAGTTCTATGACCCCAAAGCATAATAAACTTAGTGAAAATTACACCTAAGCACATCATAATCAATTTACCTGACACCAGCAAAAAAGAGAAAAATCACAAAAACAATCAGAGAAAAATCACAAGTTATAGACAGAGGACAAAGATAAAGGTAAATCAGGCCAGGTACAGTAGCTCACGCCTGTAATCCCAGCACATTGGGAGGCCAAGGTGGGTGGATCACTTGAAGTCAGGAGTTCTAAAGCAGCCTAGCCATCATGATGAAACCCCATCTCTACTAAAAATACAAAAATTAGCAAGCCATGGTAGTGGGCACCTATAACCCCAGCTACTCAGGAGGCTGAGTCAGGAGAATCACTTGAATCCAGGAGGCA